GTACCCCAAAAGTAAGAGTAGAGGAGTTAGAAGTAGAATTATTGAGAACAACAGAAGAAAAACGATTACAGAGATAAGAATAAAACCAAGATAGACAAGAATCAGTAATATTAAAAGAAAGATGCAGCAGTCTCAAGAGAATAAAACATTAAAACATTTTAACTCATTAACTGTAACAACACTAAACGACGACTAATTAGTAATTAAATTACTAAACTCTGATAATTAAGCTAAAACTAAACTCTACTAATTTTAATTAGTAATTAAAATAAATAACAGATAACACTAACGAACATTAACGGATTAGAAAACTACTAGAAACTACCAACCACTACACTACACTACTACATACTGCTACTACTACACTAACAGCACTTGTTCCTAAATCCTATTTCTTGATTGGTTTTAAAATTTTCATTTACAATGCTTAGGTCTGGGAAAATCCTATTGCCTGATTGGTTTTAAAATTTTTATTTACAATGCTTAGGTCTGGGAATAAAAAATATACTAAATTAAATAAATATATTAAACAACTTATCAATCAATTTTATAAAATAAACAATTCTGTTCAGTTCAAGCTTCAAACTCCTCAAGCTAACTTGCAATTTAATTAAAATTTATTAATTATGATATGAGTAATTCAAATTAAATTTTTTTTTCGTTTAATGTTTTACAAAATATTCCTAATTCTTAAATTGTAGTACATGTTGTTATTAAATTTATTAAAGATAATGTGTGATTCCAGTGATTCATCAATCCATGACTTGTTAGATCATGATCATTCGGTTTCAAAGAATCACCATAACCAATGGGGTTTGTAAAAATTGTACTTTTAATTTATTATATTTTATGCACTTAGAATGTTGTGTTATTAATTATTATCATTAATTTATTAAATGCGGAGCATACATATGGCAAGTAAATAAAATGATTAAGCATAGAAATAGCCACAATCAAATTAATCTATATAGGCATGAGTATAATTTGGATAATAATAATTAAAAATATCGGTATCATTGAAAATGGATAAAGTCATAAATAACAAAATAAATCATAAATTGCTAAAAATAATAGTTCCAGTGAGATTTTGCCTTACACCTACATCTTTTTTTCATTCTTATATTAAAATAAATGTTTGTTATCAAATATATCAAGGACAATGAATGATTTCTCAATCCATGATTAGATTGAATGTTATAATCCTACAGTTCCAGAGGATCCCCATCACCATTAGTCAATAAGGTTTGTAGAAATCACCCCAGGCATACCATCAATGTTTTGTAGCCACCTTTTAATGTAGTGTTAATAAAATGACATTGAGAATAGTTATTTAAAACAATCTTATTAAAATTATTGAACAGGTATGACAAGATTACTTTCTTAATGTCCTAGTGTGAGGAAGATGTAGGCCATTTGTCCAAAGATAATCATATGCCTTAGGCCCATACAAATGCGGTGTCAACACGAATGATTTTTGATCACATAACTAGAATAATAGGACTAATCGATCTATTTGATCTATCGGTCGGGCTATTTGTCGTGCTTGGATTGTTGGCTTACGAAATTGCATGGATTTTAATGAGCAAGCTATATGAAATATTTACTTGATTTAATATGCTTAAAACATTGTGGTAATTCTATTTAATTTTAATAATGATTAATAGAATTATGTATTATTAAATTATTTTTGTTAATTTGAATATAAAAATTGCTTTTGGTCCGGTGAAATCCGGTGGCTTACTGAAGCCGAAGGTTGGCTTAGTAGGATTGAACTATAGTCACCCTTTTTTTTACACTACTCGATCATGTTAAAAATTTGTTTGCTTATGAAATAAACGGCCTAAATAAATCAAAATTGTTATTTGAACAACTATCTTCATTATATTCAATGAATATTTTACATTCTGCTGGTGCTCATAAGAAACTGGCTGCTGAAATCATACGTTGGCTTACAGCAGTGGCTTACAGGGTTTCATAGAACTCTTACGATAGCAGTTTTTTGTACATATAATGCTTTAAATAAATCAATATATTCATATCACAATTATTTTTGTCAGTATAAATATAGAAATTGCTTTTGTCTGGTGAAAAACAGTGGCTTACTGAAGCCGTAGGTTGGCTTAATCGGATTTTTTCTCATGTATATGTACAATACTATGAGATAAATCAATCAAACAATCAGTCGGTCGGTCGGTCAGTCAGTCCGTCAGTCAATCAATCAATCAACTAAATTGAATGAACCAAATAAACAAAAATAAATAAAAAAAAATTTGCAAGGCCTGTTCAAACTCGATCAAACAGTTAACCGTACAGATCTACAAACAATTTCGAAATTTTAGTAAAGAAAGAAAAACACAATAGTTGCTTTTATCTGAATTCATTCAAAAATGAAAAGTGACGGTTAATCAAAATATTAAAAAGTCAATTTTTTTTGAAAATTCGTATTTTAAATAAACAAATATAACAAAACATCGACCGATAAAAATAATTATCCATTATTATTATTATTATACACACTCCTTAGAAGTTCTCGAAGGATAATAAACCACGTAACATGAACATTTAGTAAGAACAGTTCACAGCATATCATAATGACTAAATCAACATACTAAACAGAAATAATTTATACATGCATATATACAAAGTAAATCAAGAAATATCCAAAAGTTATATAACCAATTTAAAAAAAAAAA